AGAAACGAAGATATATAACTAAGGCCTTTTTGACATGCTGCTGTATTTGATTTTTCTGTCTTATTGTATTTTATTGGTTAAATTCTATCATTTGAGGTACTGTACGTCACGACTGGACCAATTGGAGCGAAGATACAATAGGTACAATATATCATAACCCGTTACTTTTAACAAAACATGATGCCAGAATGATTTATGGATGAAATATATATATATATATATATATATATTATATATATATATATATATATATATATATTCGTAAATTTACTATTTCGTTGTGGGTAATATTATATTCAACAGCGATGCCAATTTTCTGATGCTAAAATGATTGATAATGAAAGTGGGATATACATTTTTATGTATATAATGACATCGACTAAATATATATATAATATTTTCACCGTACCATCATTTTAGACTCAAACATTTTCTGGAATAAACTTATATAACTCAGTAAGGGATAAAAAGAGAAAGCCGATATTTTAAAATACCAACACGGTATCAAATCTCTAATCAATGAGATGGTTAAAATTCTTGTAACAAGTACAGGAAAAAAGTTATTAAGGTGTTGTAAAGTAGCGTCGATATACAGATGCTACTTTGCAAGACGATGCTAAATTGATGGTAAAAGCATAATGTATCGATGCCAAAATGATAGTAGGATGTATATATATATATATATATATATATATATATATATATATATATATATATATATATATGTATGTATGTGTGCGTGTGTTCGTGTGTGTGTGTTCGTGTGTGTGTGTGTGTGTGTGTGTGTGTGTGTGTGTGTGTGTGTGTGTGTGTGTGTGTGTTTTATTGGCACTGGTTTTGTACACCAACTGGCCAGTCAGTTTGTTTTAAGTTATCTCTTTACAAAAGATATTGTTAGTATTTACATTTAAAACTATTGTATTGTATTGGCAGTTAAGACATGGAATGTTAGAAACTTATTTACTAGATTACTCTGTTTTTGCAGTTTTTTTGTTTTTTATATCTTTTTTTATTTTATATTTTTTTTATTTATTTTTTTTTATTACTACGCTAAGACATAAACCCGATTCGACACCTCGGAGGTTTAGATCTTCTTAGTATTTTTTTATTTTGTTCTTAATTTTTTTTTATTTTTTATTATTTTTTTTATCAGAGCTTTAATTTTAAACAATTAATATGACTAGGTAAAATTTTATATACATCTAGTTTCTTTGACTCTAAAAGATGTGTTAGATTAGAAGGTAATTGAACATTAACTTGAACTAGCTTGGTAAAAAAATTTGATATTTCAATAAAATGTAAAGGGCATTCTAACAGCATATGTTGTAGATCAGCTAGCTCTCCACATATACATTCATTATTATTTGCCAGTCCCATTTTTCTTTTGTAGACTGGAGTCATACAATGATTGCTTCTTATTCTACAAATAGTTTTGATGAAGCCTCTGTTGGAAACTTGTTTAAACCATGTCTTGACGGAATTTTTGGGTTGGATTATTTTATAAAATTTGCCTTTGTCCGAATTGTTATAGTGTCCCTGCCATTTTGTCTGTTTGAGAGACCTGACTACAGATATTAAATCTCCCATAGGAAGTTGATAGGTTTGAAGAGTGGATTCTTTCATTGTTGCTTTTTTAGCCAGATCATCTACTATTTCGTTGTTTTTTATACCAATATGTGCTTTTATACAGCACAATATGATATTGTTGTCCGATTTCAAAGCTTCACTGTTCAGTGCTATAATGTCACTGATGATATAATTTTCTACAAAAGTATGTAAATTATATTTCATTTTATGTACAACGCTTTGGCAGTCTGTAAATATAACATAGTTTAGTTCTTTTTGATTCATACATATTTTGTAGGCTTCTTTGACTGCTATGAGTTCAGCTGTGAAAGTTGTCATTTTGTCGGGTAATCTGTTGTTTATCTTTATACTTTTTTGGGGGTAGAATATTACATATCCAACTTTGCCGTCCCTTTTTGAACCATCTGTATATAATTTTTGATAACTTCCCCAATGACTTTGTACATACTGAAGATGATCTATTTTAGTAAGAAAACCTGTGGCAAGAATATTACTTAAATGGCAGTTAAATGGAGATAAATAATCCTCATAGTTTAATTTTCGAGATGAGGGTTGTTCCATTTTGCATATGTCGTCAATATTGCTAGAAACGTTGAGAAAACTTTCCACAACTAGTAAACTGCTTCTTTTTTCCCAGTAATGATGAGTTAGGTATGTAGTGGTTAATTGTACAATTTTATTCAACAACAGTTTATTGTTAACTGCCACTTTAACTATAAATTTTTTTACTTAAGAATTCTCTGCGTAATGAAAGTGGAGGTTCATTAAGCTCACATTCCATGACCAATATGGGAGGACTACGAAGATAACCAGTGCTTAATCTAAGTGCCTTATTTTTTATACCTTCAATTTTTTGTAGTACAGCGTTTGATGCTGAGTCATAAAATATAGATCCGTAATCTAGGATCGATCTCATTAAATTTCTCTATAGTAATATTGAGATGTTTGGATCAGCTCCCCAGTTACTGACATTTACAGTCTTGATGATATTCATTGCGTTTTCCTTTCTTCCTAATATATAATTTGTGTGTTCTTTCCAATTTAATTTTGAGTCTAAGAACACGCCACATGCCATATTTTATTGAAGTTTTATAATGAATTTTATGATTATCAAATTGTAGGTGGTTTGGAGGAGAATAACGTTTTCTGGTAAAAGTAACAATCGTTGATTTACTCTCCGAGATTGTTAAATTCTTATCCGCCGCCCATTTTTTTATAATATTCAATCCTGATTTAAGGTTCTCATTACATTTATCTATTGACTTATTTTCTACATAGATTGCAACATCATCAGCATACTGTAATATTTTTATGTGTTGAGGAAGTTTATTTTCTAAATCAGCAGTATACAGAATATATAATAGAGGACTCAAGATGTTACCTTGTGGTAGTCCCAAAGATGTGTACCGTGTGTTAGATTTATCACCATTTAATCTAACGTGTACTGATCGATTAATATACAAATTAATGATATTCCATGTTACAGTTTCAGGTATTCCTATTTCCAACATTTTCGCATATAAAATGTGGAGATTAACATTGTCATAAGCCCCTTTTATATCTAAAGACAAAGCACTAACTGCTTTCTTACAAGTAAAGGAACCATAAATGTCTATCAATAAGTGACTCAGGCTTTCTTGTGTGGATTTACCTTTTCTAAAACCAAACTGAGTTTTTGGCAATAGGTCGTTCTTTTCTAACCAAAATTTCAGACGGTTTTTAATAAGTCTTTCATATGTTTTAAGTATACATGAAGCCAGCCCTATTGGACGGTAAGAATCCCAATTATTTAACGATTTTCCGGGTTTCAAGATGGGAAGAATAGTATAAACGTGCCAATCGTCAGGAATCTTTATGCGCCGTGACCAAATTTCATTGTATATATTCAGAAGCACAGTCTTACCAATTTTTGAAAGATTTGATAGCATCGAGTAATGGATTTCATCAGCACCTGGTGCTGAATTTGAATTTTTCTTTAACGAAAAGTAAAGTTCAGTGTCAGAAAATGGTTTGATTAAGAAGCGGATTTGTTCTGGATTGCGCATTCATTTGTAGATCAGGAATTACTAATTCTGCAGACAGTGAAGTGATATTTTGGTGAAACTCGTCTATCCATGAAGCTTCCGACTATATTGTAGGGACTTTGTTCTTAGTTTTTCTATTTTTTAGTCTATTAACTTTTGACCATACATCTTTAATGGGAACCGACCTATTTAAGGACTTGACATAATCTCTCCAGCTATTTCTTTTAGCTTGTTTAGTGATTTTCTTCGCGTGGGCATCATCTTTTTTATACTTGAGTAGGTTTTCTTGGTTTGGATTATCTTTGAATATACAAAAATTTTCCCGTCTTCTTCTCACTTCTTCCTCACATTCTAAATCCCACCAGTATTTTCCTCTGTAAGTTGGATTTTTTATTTTAAATTTGGGGATGCAGTTGTATTTATATTGTGCAAAAATTTTTCATATGAACTTATATCTTCAGATTGAGAGAAGATATCTTCCGAAAATTGTTCATATAATTTCCAGTCAGCTTTCTTTAAATTCCACTTTTCTGAATACGGGTTATATATATATATATATATATATATATATAATATATATATATATATATATATATATATATATATATGAGTTGGTTGATCCGCTAATTCCATCCTTATAGGAGCATGGTCTGAACCGAATAGGTCTTGAAGTGTTTTCCAAGTGATCAGATGACTTAAGTCAGGAGTACAAATCGTCAGATCTATTGCAGATTTCGAAAAGTTCCTAAAGAAAGTAGGAGAGCATTTTTGTAGAGAGATTTTGTATATCAAATTATTATCATCTATAGAGTCCATTAAGATTTTGCCGTTTATATCTGTATGATTGTCTAAGCCCCAGGCAAAGTGATGAGCATTGAAGTCGCCTCCTATTATGAACGGTCTTTCCATAGATGTTATGAAATTGTTCCATTGTTGTAACGATAATTTTACTCCTGGGGGAACATACATCGAAATAAATGTTACAGTGAATGATTTAAACTTAATTTTAATGGCTACTTTATTGATGTTTAATAATTTGACTTTCATGGTGACTTCCTCATAATACAGATTTGAGTTTATTAAAATTGCCGAGCCACCACCGACAGTTGCTGAAAAGCGGTCGTCTCTGACAATATTATATCCGTGAAAGTTAATATAATTTTCTGGTTTAAATCTAGTTTCTGATAATAATGCGATATCAACTTTCTGGTCTTCTAGTAGGTGAAGGAGATTTTCTCTATTAGAGTTAGCCGATCTACAATTCCATTGACAAATTACCAAACTATTCATTATTATATGAGAGAGAACTTAAAACTGTTTGAATTAAATTTATTAAAACTGATTTTTCTGGGATTTCAAAATTTTTGTGATTCATATTAGAAATAATACTTATAACTATATTTGATATTAGTTCTGTTAATTCTTTAGGAGATTCATGTATTTTGGATCCTTGTTCTGCATTAAATGTAGATTGATAAGAAGATGAATTGAAAATGCCTCCAGGTCTGTTGGACATGGGGTTTAACTTTATTATTTTTTGATGTTCTATTGCTATTGGGTCTTGCGATGAAGATATGGGTCGTTTGGATTTTGGAGGTTTTATTATTGTATATCTGTTTGAAACTGTAGGGTAGGCGAGCTGGTTAGGGAGTGAGGGGGATGTGGACAATTGAGTAGAGGAATATGAAAAGGATGGAGCGTTCATAATTGGGATTTGATGTGAATTTATTGAGGAATTATTAGCTGTTATCGATGCATAGGTTACTTTAGGAAATAATTTAAGCATTTCTTTGAAAGACAAGCTGTTTTCAGACATGTAATGTTTGATTTTTTTTTGACGGTCAAATTCTGGACATAACTCCCATTTGTTAGTGAAGTGTTCACCTTCACAGGAGAGATATTTTTTATTAAAAGATGATAAAGAACAAGAATCAGAATGGTGGGACTCAAGACATTTAAGACATCTAGGGTTGCTTTTACATTGCTTACTCATGTGTCCATACCTATAACAGTTGTAGCAAATAATTACTTTTTGCTGGTATTTTTCTACATTATGTAAAACATGGTTAATTACGATATATTTTGGTAGATTTTGACATTTGAATGATACAATTACGGATTTTGTAGGTTTAAAAACTACTTTATTATCTGTTACTATTTTTCTCTTTATTCTTTTTACATAATCCACCGAGAATTTACAATGGTGATCAAATTCTTTTATTTTATCCTTAAGATATTCTTCCCATATATCTGATTCTATATCCCTAACTACACCTAATTTAAATAATTGAAATTGCGGAATATATGCAATTAGATTTTTTTGAATAAGCAATTTAGAAGTAATTAAGGTATTTGCACTAGCATATTTTTTAAATGTTATTCTAATACGGTTGCGTCCAATTGAATCAATTTTTTTAATATAAGTATCAATTTCCGGATGTACGGTAAATAATATTTCACCTAGCTTAACTGCATTTAATTTGACTGTAAAATTTTTATCATTGTTTTCAATAAAAATGTGAAATGGCCCTAAATCAGTTTTTTCATATAAATATACAGGTCTGCTTTTTTCTGTCTCATTAGAATTTAGTGAGGTAATTTGTTTATCGGTTTTTAAATTATTAATATTATTAGAACTACTTATCGAGTTTTCTAGCTGATGTGATGAAAATCCATGGGAACCATAACTGCAATCATCCATCGCATCCTGATCCCTTGGCATTTTATCGGGGGGCTCGCCCCCTTTAGAAGACTCCATAAATGGAGCCTTCGACGATCGCTTCAACGACTAAACTAGTAGTAATGTATAAGTATTAAACTATAGTAATAGAATCTAATTGTTTAGCACTTCCTAAATCACAAAAAACGCGGAGAACTTTAAAATGTGTAAATTAACTTAAGATTATATGTTAAACTATCTGAAATTAAACTTTAAAATGCGGAGAACTATTAAATTCGTATTTACACTTTGACGTTTATTTGACAGATCTGATTGTGAGATATATAGAAGAACATAATTCTAAATAATATGCCAAGAATTAATATAATATAAATATAAAAACAAAAATTTAAGCTACTATAATTTGTCTTCATTGGATTATTAATGTTACTTACAGTACTTCTTCTTCTTAGGGTGCCTGTCCGTTCCGAACGTTGGCGATCATTCTGGCTATGATGATTTTGTTGGTTGCTATACGAAATAGATGTGTTGAGGTCTTTCTATACCATGCTCTCAGGTTATCAAGCCAGGATATTCTTCTTCGTCCTGGGGCTCTTTTTTGGAGTAGCTCGTATCTGCCTTGATTTCTCGTTATATGTTCCAAGTACTTCAGCTTACGGCTCTTCACAATGTTGACCAAATCCGCGGTTGTGTTCATCCTTCGCAGTACTTCTTCATTGGTGACTTTGTCTGTCCATGGTATCTTCAGGATTCTTGAACGCCTGAAGTTTTGATAGAGTTTCCGCCTTCAATGTCCACGTTTCTACTCCATACAGAAGCACTGAGTACACGTAACATTTAAGGAGCCTTATTTTTGTTTTCAGGGTGAGGTCATGGCTGTTGGCCTTTCCGATGCGACATTTAATCTCTTGTGTATTGTCCCACGACTCATTGATTATAGTTCCCAAGTAATTGTATTGTGAGACATATTCAATTCTCATTTGGTTCACATACAGATTTGCTCCAGTTATGTTTTGCTTGCTGATGATCATTAGCTTGGTTTTGCTGGTGTTTATATCCAGTCCATAGGTTCTACTTGTTTCTGTTATTTTGTTCATTAAGTTTTGCAGTCCTTCTATGGTATTGGAAAACAATATTGTATCATCTGCATACCGCAGGTTATTAACCTTGACTCCATTTATTGATACATACGATATGCGTTTCTCTGTGTCTTTATAATTCAAACTCTTTGATTAACTGATAAACTTTGTTATTATGAGGATATTTTATTAAAATGTTGTTAATTAACTAGCTAAGAACTAAGTTAAATATATTTGACTAATTAAATTTACCTTTTTCGCTGGTAATTTGACACAAAGCACGGAGCGATACAACCTAACCTTAACACGTTGCATGCTAATCACGCATGTGAGCGTCAAGATATCGCTTCAGTTATATGCTGATGACGCACATGTGAGTTTTTAAGATACCTATGTTTAATATTGTCTAGCATAAATACCTTTGTGTGTAAAAGTTTTCTTTTTGGAAGAGTTTGTAGAGGAAACTATCTGTTAACCCATTTATCAAGCGGTTCTCAAAAACATTTTCTACCTTTCCTTCTACTACCAATAGTTCCATAGTTCCTGTTCTTATACTCGGTTTACTTTTATATTAGCCTGTCGTTTATATGAAGCTGTTCCAGAAGTGACAGGTTGGTCCTGCCAGACTGGTCACGGAATTTTTATATACATAATGAGAAATACTCTGTCTATGTCCTTATTATCATGTAGATTTGTCCTCATGTCCTTTTTCTCCTTGTAGAATGTTTCAATTACCTTCTTCAATTTCACTTGTGTTTCGGTAATTTCTTCTCGGGTGCTGTATTAAATCAAATTATTTTCGATTTGCTTCGTAAATTGGGGTTAAAAAATAATAATGTTTCTGGTAAAAGTATTAAAAGAAAAGCAGTACAAAGTTCAAGTGAACTAAGCATTGGTATGAAGGCTTCTATATCTGCAAATGACAATATTTGTACATTTTTTGTTATTGTTACGAACATGCATTCAGTGCGGCCCGTCTAACGGTTGCATCTCGAAGCATCTCGGCATCGAGAACCATCGATGAATAGATCCCTCGAAGGCAAGAGAACAAATGGTCACGTACACGCCTAGAGGTGGGAACTTTCTAGAAAATAGTAACTTTGGTATATATATGTAACGATCTTAGGAGTTAGTTTAGTTGATAAGATAGTATCGAACTGTAAAGTTATAAATAAATATATTTATATAAATTCGAACCGCTCGTTTTATTTAAAAACGGTACAGTTGGTGTCCGGTGTGGAGTTTCAACATAAATCCAGCAGTGACTTTTGAAAAAGACTTTAAAACTTTTGAAAAGTATTGTTCGTCGGGAACATCCGCGTAGTTCGGTAGTGACTTTTGTACGAAAGAACATTTATAAAAGTACGTGTGTGCCTGTACAAAGATGCTGCTAGTACAACTCTCGGTAAAACAGTTGCGTGAGCAATTAGAAGAACGCGATGAAGACTGCAGCGGGTCCAAGAAGATTCTCCAGGAGCGACTGAAGAATGTTCTTAACAAGAATGGAGATGACCCAGAGACATTCCAGTTTCAATCATCAGAAGAAACAGTTTTAACAAAAATAAATGAGAAATTTGAAAATGTCTCACAAATGATTGAAGAATCTTCGAAACAAAATGATAGTAAATTTGAGAACGTCTCGCAAATGATTGAGGAGACTTAAAAAAAAATGATGATAAATTCGAGACTGTTTCCAAAAGATTCGATGAAACGTCTCAAATGATTGAAGAAACTTCCAAAAAAAAAAATGATGAAAGATTCAATGAAACGTCTCAAATTATTAAAGAAGTAGCTAGACAAAACGACGAGACTTCACAAATTATTAAAGAAATATGTAATCAGAACAATGAGAAATTTGAAGAAATTTCTAAAACATTCGATAAAGTAGAAGAGAAGATCAAACAGCTAGAGACCATGATAACTAACACGAAAGTGCTACCACCAATTAATACGGTAGCTTTAGATCCGGTAGTGAAAGAAGAATCATCTAGAGACGAAATGACACATAATATGAGATTCAAATTACCACCATTTGATGGAAAGTCTTCTTGGTCCATATACCTTAGACAATTTGAAGCTATTGCGACAGCCAATCATTGGACAGAACAAGAAAAAGCTGTTTCCTTGACTGCTGCTTTACGAGGTGATACTGCAGATATCCTAAGATCGATTCCTAAGGGTCAAGAAAAATGTTACCAGACCTTGTTCACTCGACTAGACAAACGTTACGGAGATGCCCATCTACAACAAGTCTACAAAGTACAAATAAGAAGTAGAATTCAACGAGCAAGTGAGAGTTTGCAAGAATTTGAAGCAGATATTGCTCGTATAGCGCTGTTGGCCTATCCAGAGGCACCAGACAACATTTTGGAAGAAATTGCTGTAGATGCCTTCGTCAATGGGTTGAGAGACAGTGAACTACAGAAAGCTTTACGACTAGCAAGACCGAAAGTTTTAGATGAAGCGCTCGCCATTGCCTTGGAACATGAGATAGCTAGTCGAGTTTCACGGAGCTATCAAGTACGAACCTCTGAAGAGAGTGACGAACGAAACGATAAACGTCTGGAGGAAATCGTACGGAAAGTAGTTCGTAACATGATGCCGAAGAGACGTGAACCCAGATGTTGGAATGGTAACAACGAAGGTCACATTCGCCACAAAGTGCAAGAAAATAATACAACAGTCAGAAAGCTAGAACAGATCGAGCACGCTAGAAAAAGTCATTCAAATGCTGATGTTCAATCAAGACGGCCATACAGTGAAAATCGTAATCATTGTCTTAAATTAGAAGAACGACTTTGCCCCGTGAGGCGAACCACCGTTATTAATGATCAATGGCAGCCTCAACAGCTACAAGACGCTCAAGCAGATGATCCATGTATAAAAAGAGTATTGGATTGGGTGCGTCGAAGTGAAAGACCTTCTTGGCAAGACATTAGTGCATGTAGTCCCGAAGTCAAGTGTTACTGGAGCCAATGGAATTGCCTAGTGCTGAAAGATGATCTTCTGTATAGAACCTTTGAGAACGATGATGGTACAGAAACTAAGCTTCAGTTGATTGTACCTAAAAGTAAAGTGTCAGAAGTATTGCGTCAGTTGCATGACGGTGCATCAGGTGGACACTTTGGTATTACGAAGACTCTGCAAAAGGTTCGAGAACGGTTCTATTGGGTGAACTGTAAAGATGATGTAAGAAGATGGTGCCGGAAATGTGAACTGTGTGCAACTAGTAATGGTCCAGTGGGTAAAAAGAGGGCACCCATGAAACAGTACAATGTTGGTAGTCCTATGGAGAGAGTAGCAATCGACATTGCAGGTCCACTTCCAGAGACGAATGATGGAAATAAATATATCCTGGTAGCCATGGATTATTTTACGAAATGGACTGAGGCCTATGCGATACCAAATCAAGAAGCTGCTACCGTAGCAGAGGTACTTGTTAAAGAATTCTTTAGCCGATTTGGTGTTCCCTTGGAGATCCACTCCGACCAAGGGCGAAACTTCGAGTCAAACCTTTTCCAAAACGTTTGTAAATTGATTGGTGTCAATAAGACCAGAACGACACCCCTGCATCCTCAATCAGATGGAATGGTCGAGAGGATGAACCGAACGATGGGTAAACACCTGTCCAAAGTTGTATCAAAACATTAAAGAGATTGGGATCAGCACATTCATTTATTCTTAATGGCATACCGCTCGGCCGTGAATGAAACTACAGGCCAGACTCCAACCTGCCTGATGTTAGGTCGTGAAGTTCGTTTGCCCTGCGACCTAGAGTTTGGCTGCAGACCTTCCGAAGAACATGTTGCAAGCGAAGATTATGTCGATCGTCTGAAGTTAAGAATGAACAGCATTCATGAACTTGCCCGACAACACATCCAGTTAGCCAGTGACAGAATGAAAGATCAATACGATTCTCGATGCAAGAATGAAAGCTATGAAGTAGGTGATCTTGTTTGGCTTTATAATCCACAACATCGTCGTGGCTTGTCTCCTAAACTGCAAAGACAATGGGAGGGTCCGTATGAAATTAAAAAGAGAATAAATGACGTAATATACCGAATTAAGAAGTTGCCGAAAGGCAAACCAAAAGTAGTTCACATAAATCGTCTTGCCCCTTATGCTGGCTCAAATGAAACCGAAGAAGTCCGAACCCTTCAACATGAGATCAAAGATAAACGGCGACCAAGCTTTAAGGAGTTTATGTCAAATTACGCAGAGAGAAAGAATGCTAGATTCGGCGTGACGACAGAAGTTCAGCAGGATCTTTTTAGTGTTCCGCATAACGTCTCTCTAGCCCACTGTGTTGCCCAAGATCTTGAGATGACTAAAGGAATCTCATCCGTATTTTATAAAAAATTTGGTCGCTTGGACGAGTTAAAAAACCAGCAGCCTAAAGTTGGAAGAGTGCTGAGATTAGAAGATGGTTGTCGATCTTTGCTGTATATGGTGACCAGGAAGTCGTATACAGACAGGGCAACCTACGAGGATATATGGTGTGCTCTAACTAATTTGAAGAAAATCGTCTGCAATTACGACATTAAGAATTTGGCCTTACCCAAGATAGGCCATGCACTAGATAATCTGGATTGGAAGATTGTCAGAAGCATGCTTAAAGTGATCTTCCGAGAAACCGGCGTAAGAATTAATGTGTGTTGTACTAATCCGAAGAGATCGTGTCCTTCAAAGACAGTAGACTGTTATTTCTTTCTGAGGGGTGTATGCAGAGCTGGAGAGTCCTGTAGATTCCGCCATCCTGGGCCTACATATGGAGTTGCTGATCGGGACGCTCAGATCTAAGAGGGGAGCAGTGTTACGAACATGCATTCAGTGCGGCCCGTCTAACGGTTGCATCTCGAAGCATCTCGGCATCGAGAACCATCGATGAATAGATCCCTCGAAGGCAAGAGAACAAATGGTCACGTACACGCCTAGAGGTGGGAACTTTCTAGAAAATAGTAACTTTGGTATATATATGTAACGATCTTAGGAGTTAGTTTAGTTGATAAGATAGTATCGAACTGTAAAGTTATAAATAAATATATTTATATAAATTCGAACCGCTCGTTTTATTTAAAAACGGTACAGTTGGTGTCCGGTGTGGAGTTTCAACATAAATCCAGCAGTGACTTTTGAAAAAGACTTTAAAACTTTTGAAAAGTATTGTTCGTCGGGAACATCCGCGTAGTTCGGTAGTGACCTTTGTACGAAAGAACATTTATAAAAGTACGTGTGTGCCTGTACAAAAAAACGGTACATTATTGTTGTTCCTCTGGTCTTGACTTTTGACTCCCTAATTATATTCTCTAATGTGATGTTGAATAGAATATAGGATAGGGCATCTCCCTGTCGTAGGCCCGTTCTCACTTGGATTGTATCTGTTAGTTCGTTTTGAATTCGAATTTTGCTTTGTACTTTAAGTGTTTCTTTTACTATATGAATGAGTTGAGTTGGAATATTAAACTCTTTCATTGCATGGATCAGAAACTCTCGATGGATGCTATCATAGGCGCTCTTAAAGTCAATGAAAAGATGATGTGTGTCTATATTAAATTCACTAGTCTTTTCCAAGATTTGCCGCAAGACGAAGATCTGATCTATTGTGGACTTCTGCCTGCGGAAAACACATTGATATCCCACAACTATTTGTTCCGCATACGGTCTCAATCGGTCATACACAATATTTGACAGTATTTTATATGCCATAGTCAGTAGCGTTATTGCCCGGTAGTTTTTGTATTGAAGCTGATCTCCCTTTTTATGTAGTGGGATAATTACTCCGGTATTCCAGTCTTGTGGCAGTTGTTTATTATTCCGTATGTTCACTATTAGTTCGTGTATCGGATTCAATGGGGAGTCTCCACCTTCTTTTATTAATTCTGCGCTAATGTTATCTAATCCAGGTGACTTGTTGTTTTTCAGTCTGGTAACTGCTTCTTGGTATTTCAGCTACTGAAGGGGGGGGGTTTGTTTCTCTGGTATCTGTTTGATCCAGTATAATTTCATCATATAGTGGATCTTCGTTTTTTTTTTTCAAACTTTTCTTTGAAGAATTCTGTCCATCTTTGTAGTATTTTACTCTGTTGAGTTACTATATCTCCTCTGTCTCTACACATCATTGTTCTTGGTTTAAATTATTTTCTGCTTTTGTTAAGTTTTTGGTAGAATTTTCTGTTTTCTGATGGTTTATTAAGTTCTTCCATTTCTTGGAGTTCTTTTTCTATGTGTTCTCTTTTCTTTCTGCGATGTATTTTCTTCTCTTCCCTCCTTAGCATTCTATATTCCTCCTTTGCCTTTCATGTTATATGTCGTTGTTGTAGTCGTTGATATACATTATTTTTCCTCTCAGTTATATTACGACACTCTTCATCGAATCACTGTCCTTCAGTTGATTTGGGCTTTTTTTTGTAGACCCAGAATCTCTTTGGCCGCGTCTTGTATGATGTTTTTACACTCTTCCCATTCTCTGTTTATATCCTCGTGCTGGTGTCTATTTTCTAGCCTCCCTTTTATATATTCTTTGTATTTTGCCTTTTTGCTGTTGTCTGCTAAGTTTTTTATTTCATATTTTTCAATTTCGGAAAAACAATAGGCATGTGAAATTTTGAAAGCGTCAAAATAGTTGCTTCAAATTTATATATGACGATATAGCTGTGTTAAATTACTTAGTGGTTTCTGAATTGAAAGGAATAACTGCTCAATTTATTGAAGCGATACTCACGGCTAGATATTTTAAAGCAGATGAGTTGGAATTATTTTTATTTCGACGAAAGCATTATCTAACATAACTTATACCCTAAGAGAAGAAATGATCACTGCAAGTAAGACTATTTGCACCAACACTATAAAAATAAAAAACAAAGAAAAGCCACCATTAATTAAAAAAGAAGCGTTACATGGAAATGCAGATAGGAATGAAAATATACAGGAGGAGTAAAATTTAAGTGAGGTTTCGTGGAAAGACGTATCTATTGGAATGCAAAATTTTAATTTTACCAAATCTTCTGGGTTATTAGTAGATGTTCCAGGGACTGGTCTTCCTTATAATTTTTTTGCCTTCTTGTAGAAGATATTTTTTTGAGATGATACTGCAGGAAACAAAGGTTTATGCCGAATCGTTATTTTTATCCGGTATTGCAGAACATTCACGTATAAATCAATGGAAGCCTGTGTCTGTTAACGAACTTAAAAACATATTTTGGACTTACATTGCATATCGATGGCTGAAAGTAACAGTGAGATACCATGTCAAGTTGAAATTACAAAATAATGAGAATTAAAGCTTGCATGTCATATTAAAAATCAGAAAAAGGTGACTAAAAGCTTATTTTTATTGGATATTAGTCTCCTAATATTCGAACATAAGCTTTAATGCTAATTTTCTAACAATTTTATCTGTAACACAGAAAAAACAGGTTTTTGTAAAATATCCCATTGTTGTATTAACATAGGTAGTCTGGGTTGAGCTAATATTCACAATTTCCCATTTTTTAGAGGGACTAGTATAGAGTACACAAAATGTTATTTAGCAGATATGTTTAATTTTTATAACTTAAACTAAAAAACTTAATTTCTAACACAAACTACTTAAAATTAATATGATAAAATTTACTTCAAATTCTCAAAAAAAGGTGATGTCGTTCTGGGATTTCAACAAATGGGAATAAATCATTTTTTTTTATTTTCAGAGATTGAAGGAGGGGAAGCGTAGACTGGTTGTAAGTTTAAATTCTCGCAATTATTTCTGCGACAAAGCATTTTGTATTTTACATCGATGTGTTTTTCAAAGTATTATTCAGAAGAGCCTGTTTTGTAAAAAATGTAGGGGTTCTCAGCAGTTATTTTTCTAGCTTTAATGTTGTTCAACACACATTTTGATCCTGTATTATCAACATTAAAGTTTTTGCCAATACTTTCTGACCTCTTTTCCTACGCAATGATGTTTTAAATATTTATATAAACATGTAGAAATTTATATTTCCCCTCTCTTGCCCACACCTTCGCGCCAAAAGAAGCAATGGCCCTGATGTGTTAAAGCATCAAAAATGGTAAAGTTGTATGCATTCAACTTTGATTTATAAAAAAAAGGAAGATGTATTTCCACAAGGAAGCTGGAACAACCCCTCTAAATCAAAAATAGCTACAATTTTATTGACTTCTATAGTTTTGTCTCGGCTTTTTTCCTGCCTAGCCAAAGCACTATCTGATTGATGACGTTCATATTCTTCTTTTTTTCAATGAACGTTGCTGCTCATCCATATTTTTATACTGTGTACAAAAATTTTATAAATCTTTTTTTGGCTTGAAGAAACTTAAATTAAACTGTGTATTAAACACTTTAGTATATATACTTTTCTTTACAGGCTAAATCTGTTCTGTACAATATATTTCTGTGTACAATTTGTACATTATTGATAGATTCAAAGAACCTTCTAATATTCCCTTTTACTGTCTGCCCTACAATAGTGAGAAAGCATGCGAGGAAAATTATTAATATGATTTATAATCAAAATTATTTCTTCATCGCTTGTTTTGTTTACACTTGATTGAGCACCTCGAGTTTTTCCTTCTAAAAAACAATCCTGCAACTTATTGATAACTGTCGATATCGTATTGTTTGATATATTCAAGGTGGCAGTAAAGAAGTGCTTGCAAACTCTCACCTTTTGTCCATCAACTTCAAAATAATATCTAAAGTTTTCCTTTCTCTTAGCATTGCTGGACCTTTTTCTCTTGGGTAAAACTTTCATGATGCACCGAGCCAAGTAACCCCTTTGCTTTATTTTATCACTTAAACCATAAAAATAATTTAGTAAACCTTGTCGCTTGTCTTCTGAAATTTGTTCTGGACATTTTAACCTACACCTGTTGCAAGGGGCCTGCAACGATTTTGCTTTATGATGTTTTCCAAGACGAGAGACATAGTCCTGTCCAGAGTTAATTTTTATTTTTTTAACATTTTTTTTCAGTTATTATCATTGCGTTGTCTCTTACGACTAACGATAGGTAACACTTCATTTTCACAGTTTATTAACGTGCGAGTAGATACAGTAACATCTTCATTAGTCTCTGCTACATAATCTAAGTCTGAATCACCATTATTACAGTTTATTAATGTATGGGAAATGAAATTGCACGAATACCTTCATCAGTGTCTGGTACATAATCTGAGTCTAAATAAAAGGGCTCAAAATCTTCATCATGAGCTGGACTGTCAGCTGAAAGAAAATGATTATGCTTTATCAATTCAAACTACCAGCAATAAAGAGCACAGAATGAAATTTATCTGAATAAAAGTAATAATAAAAACCCCATTAGTATCTAAAATTCTAAAATGCAATATATCTTCCACTTCATCCGCAAGGCTGTATTGTTCCAAGTTCAATGAAGCGTTTGCACGAGAAATCATTCTTTCAGTTGTAACTACATCATCATTTTTAATAGTGCTATTCGAATTTTCTGAATAGAAAGATACATTGTTACACCGCCAACATTTTAATGAAAACAAAAATTTTATCCTGAAAAGGAAAATGCTTACCTGTTATAGTCCCAGTTTTGTCCACTTGTTCATTTGCAAGAATACACATCAATTGACCACTAGAAATCACTTTTAGAGCACTTTCACTATATTTGATACTTTAATAAATTTTTGATTAAAACAATAGGTGCGCAATAAATTGTGTGTGTGATGAATAAATTATGTATAATATAAACAGTAGAATAGATTCAAGATACCGACAATTGATACATGATATTTACCAAAACGCAACCATGACCGTAATTCTGGACGACAAATTAATAACGGATAATATAAAAGTTAAACGAGGAGTCCGACAAGGCGATATAATTGCACCTAAACTGTTTACCTTGACCCTCGAAGACATAATAAAATCAACAGATTGGGAAAACAGAGGAATATGTATTAACGGAAAATACCTAAATCACCTTAGATATGCGGATGACATACTCCTGATCTCCTCGGAACGACAAGAACTGGAATTAATGCTGAATGAACTTCATGAAAAATCACTGCAAAAAGGCCTAAAAATTAACTTCAACAAAACAAAAGTAATGACAAACACGGAAGACCAAGAGGCAATAAAAATAAAAACAGAAAAAATAGAACAGGTAAATGAGTATATCTATCTAGGACAAGCAATCAGAGCTAATAGAGAAAATCAAACAGCCGAAATATCGAGACGAGTAAGAATGGGATGGGCAGCGTTCAGCAAACTTTCTTACGTTCTAAAAAATCAAACAATCCCTCTATACTTACGAAGCAAGGTATATAACTCCTGTATCATACCGGTGCTCACCTACGGAGCACAGACATGGACATTTACACAGACCAATTTGGATAGGATAAGGAAGGCACAAAGAGCGATGGAGAGACAAATGTTGGGTGTATCACTTAGAGATAGAAAACGTAACCAGTGGATCAGAACCAGAACAAAGACAGTAGACGCGATAGAACAAGCAGCAAAACTGAAATGGAAATGGGCTGGACACAATGAACGTCTCCAAGACGGACGATGGAACAATGCCATCGGAAAGTGGCGTCCATACAATGCAAAGAGATCAAGAGGCAGACCACAGATGAGGTGGAAAGATGACATCAGGAAACAAGGAGGTCCCACATGGCAGAGAACAGCTCAAGATAGGGAAAGATGGAGAGAACTGGGGGAGACCTATATCCAACAATGGAAGGATAGAGAATAGGTTCAAATATATATATATATATATATATATATATATATATATATATATATATATATATATATATAAACATACCTAACCTCACAAAATTTGACAGTCAAACAGAATGACTCAGTGTATAAAATATTTTTCTCACTAATGCACCACCAACGGTGGGTTATTCAGTTTGCCTAAGTGTTGCTTTGACTAAATTAGTTAATTGCTTCTAGTATAACACTGGTTTATTCCCCATAACCGACAAGTTGGGTTTAAATACATGTTATCTAAGTATTGTTATGACAAATTGGACTATTTTGGTTGCTTTGCTGTAATAACGTTGAAAATGGAATTTTGTCAAAATATCCCACTGTTGCTTTCAGCCATCGATATGGGAACATGGAAAACCAATAGAATCCAGGACTACTGGAATACCGATCCTCTTTTTCAATTGAAATGTTTCCATAATAATTATGGAGCCGAGATCGTTACTTGCTTATTTTGAGATGTCTACATTTTGCCAGAAATCCAGAAGAGGGTATAATAGAAGATAAACTTTATAAAATTAAACCACTTTTAAATTAATTCAATAGTATAGTGGCTGAAATATATCAACCAGGAAAAAATCTATCCCTTGAAGAAAGTATGGTATTGTGGCGTGGTAAACTCCATTCGCTTAGCTCGGGCATATTTTGACAGATTCATTGTCGGAAATCTACAACACAACAATTCCTACTTCTCAGTATTAATAGCTCAAGTATACTACTATTACAGACTTCTTTCTTTGAAAAAAGAAGAATTATTCTAAATAGTGGAAGTGCATACTAAACCCACCAAATTCTGGATAGTATATATTTAAATTTTCACATATCACTAATTCACTGTGTTTCTGGACTGTAAGCGTATAACCTATTTTTATGCACCTCCTTGATCTTACCGTTATCTATCTTAATTTTACGGTTAACGGTATTTACCTCTGTTATTATGAAAAGACTATCACACTTACAATTCTCTTCTCTTTTGACCAGGACTAGGTCTCCTATTTCGAAGTGTTGTGCCGTCGCTTTTGACTTATTTCTTTCCTGTCGCTTCTTTTTGCGCTTTAATAAGGTTTTAGCACTCTCGTGTGCGAATTGTAGTTTATAGCGAAACTCATTGTAGTAGGTATCTATGTTGTAACATTGTTGAACGCCTCGTGTAAGGTCTTTAGGTAAGTTTACTTTCCTGCAATACAGCAATTCGAACGGTGTATATCCATGATACGGGTTAGGGGTTGAGTTGTAGCAGTATGTAAAAATTCTGCAACACACGTCTCAATTTACTCTGTATTCATCTACGAATGATCTCACGTACTCGTTTAACTTTCTATGTAGTTTCTTATAACTTCCAATCGATCTTCGGTGGTACGTCGTTGAGAAGTTGTGCTCTATATTTAGCATTTTTGTTAGTTCTGGCCTGTTCTTGGAGTGTTCTGATTTGTTTCACGAGTCCGTATGTTGGTATAAAATGATCGAAAATTCCCTCAAAACCTGAAATTTGTTGTATAAGTGTGCTACTAAGTTGTTGACCGAAAGAAGGTGGACAAAGGTAGATTAGGATTCTTTGTAATATGGTAGATTATGAATTTTAATAAATTGTTAGATAATGTTTGAATGATTACTAAATTAAAACTATTGGATACATGTTTAATATATGAATTGACCAAGAAATAATGAAAGAGAACAGAATTAACAGGAAAGCGATGTAAAAGTGAAGAGTGGATAAGATAGTGAAATGTTGGTATGATGGATGTGGATGGTTCTGAAGTTAAAATTGGGGTCAGAAATTTGTGAGAGGAAGGTGTGACGATATTGTATAAAATGGGTGTTTGAAGAACCACAAGATTGTGTAGGAATAAGGTGTTGAAGTTTGTATAGGAAAATAAGGCAGAGAGAATAGGACAGTATTGTGAAGTGTGGACTATGAAAAAAGTTGACGATGTAAAGGTTGAAAGTCACGGTTGAAAGATACATGGCGATTAACACAATTGGGGCTTTTTTGTTTTTCTTTGACTATTTCCAAGTCTTCATATAGATCTAATTTTAGAAAATTTTTTTGGGGAATATTATGTAACAAAGAGACGTCTTCTGGGATGTTGAGGGTATGTTTATGTTGTGCAAGATGTTGAGAGAAGGTGGAAGTGTTCTCTTTTTTAGTGTGTTCTAAGGAACGAGAAGTTAGTGATCTACAGGTTCTACCTATATATGTAGCATCACAATCAGAGCACTGTAATTTATAAACACCACTACGATCCATGTAGTTGATGGGATCTTTTGTATTGGTTAAACATTGTCCTAGATTGTTCGGGACTTTGAAAGAAATGTGGGTATTCTCAACAGATCTTTTTAGGATGTATCTAAGATCTCCAGAAAGACGTTCTTGAAGGTAAGGCAAAGAAAAATAATGAGTTTTGATGGTCAAGTCTCTGGGAAACGCAGTCTCTCTCAATAGTTTGAGTTGTCTCTTATTTATAAGTTTGTTAATGATATTGGGATCATATCCATTGTTGAATGCTATTTGTTTAAGGGTGTTAACTTCTGTATGATAGTTGGATTGTGATAGTGGAATTGTTAATAATCGGTGAATGTAACTATGGAATGCTGCATATTTGTGTGACATTGGGTGGTTGGAAAACAAAGGTATGATATGGTCAGTTTGTGTTGGTTTTCTATAGATACTGAAATCGAAGTGGTCGTTTAATCTGGTGATGGTAAGGTCAAGAAAATTAATAGATTGAGATGATTCTAGTTCCGTAGTGAACTTAATGTTTGGGTGGATTTGGTTTAATTTAGAGAGTAATAGATCAGCTGAATTTGAGTTACCTGATATGAAGACTAAGCAGTCATCAACATATCGAAACCAATGGAGAATTTCAGGATTTTTCATAATGTGTGTGGATTCTAAGTGATCCATAAATATATCAGCTAAGAAAGGGGAAAGGCAACTACCCATGGCTAAGCCATCAGGTTGTCTGTAAAATTTACTATTGAAAACAAAAAAGTCTTGAGCTAGACAAGTTTGTAATAATTGAATAATTGAGTTAGTGGTAGACAAAGTGATAGAATTTGCTCGAAGAAGAGACTGGACCAGATTAATAGTTTCTTGTTTGGGGACTGAAGTAAATAGGTTGCTGACATCAAATGAAAGCATTGTGATGTTAGGATGAAGATTTATTTGTTGAAGATTGTTGACTAGATGAATAGTGTTTTTGACTGCAAATCGAGGGGTGAAGTTCGTCATGTTGTTAATGAGATTCAATATGAATTTTGACAAAATAGAAACTGGAGTATTTATGAAACTAACAGCGGGACGAATGGGAATGCCCTCTTTATGTATCTTAGGTAAACCGTACAATCTGGGTGTTAGTGGGTTACTAGGTATTTTATAATATGGAGCGTCATGTTCTGAGAGAAATTCTGTGAAAAGTTTATTGGTGGCTTTGATTTTGTTAATGAACTTTCTTGTTGGGTCTTCGGAGAGCAAAGTGAAATTGTTATCTGAAAGAAATGTGGTGACCTTGTCGTTATATGAATTTTGATCTAAAATAACTAGGCAATTGCTTTTATCTGCTTTACTAATAATAAGATTGTGGGATTTAATTTTGTTTTGAATAGACTTGAGGATTTGGAGTTGGTCTTTCTGTTTTTTGTTTGAAAATTGTGGAAGAGAAGCATTGAATGAATAATTTTGGGAAGTAAAAGGTGGGTTAATGGATGAAGAGTTATTTGATGTGTTTAGTAGAGTGTTGGGAGTAGGGTTATTGAAAGAAGTAGAAGATGATGGAAAATTTTTGTTTTTGAATTTGTGGATAGTTTTATAGCAAGAGTTTCTAATTGATGTTTTTTGATTTAGAGGG